AACAAAAACCCCCCCCCCCCCCCCCCCCCCAAAAAGGCGAGCACGCCTATATTTCCCACATCGCCCTGCCAGCTTCGGATTCTGCTCTCCCCCTTCGCAGTACCCTCGCCTGGCAAGCTGGTCCTCAACATGATGAGCTTCGACGGCGGCACGGCCTATGCCGAGTCCGACGCTGATGACGAGTACGAGCGAAGCATGGGCGACCACTCTCCTGTTGCCGATTCCGAAGCCTCACCCATCGAATCCGAGTTATCGACTTCCGCAGAGCATACGCCCACCACCTACGGACATCGCAGCAGTGCTGACCGATTGCCTGAAACCATCATCACCGAATGGAATGCCGACGAATGTGCCGACTTCATCTCCACCATTGGCCTGCCGCAGTATGCCGATGCCTTTGTTGGTACGTTGATGAACCAGCTCCGGACCACCACTTGTTTCTTTCTGGAATCCCATGAGGCAGAACCAGAGACCGTAATCGATTGTTGCAGAATAATTACTGACTGAACCGCCTCTTTGTGCGTTTGCTTCCGCAGAAAACGAAATTGTTGGCGAAGCCTTGGTCGCCCTGCAACACGAAGACTTGAAGAGCATGGGCATTACCAGTGTCGGCCATCGATTGACAATATTAAAGAGCGTATACGATGTGAAAAAAGCACAAGATGTACCGATTGAGAGCGATCACTACTTCCCTCTGTGTACGGCACCCCTCCGCCTTCTTCCCAACCCTTCAGAAATACCTCGTGGCAACCGGATCAAAGGACCCCCTCCACAAAAAAATAGAGAACAATAAGTCAATACAAAGAAAATAACCATTTGCTAATTGTTGGATGATGCAGCTGCCGATGCCGAAGCTCAGTACGCTACAGCAACTCTCAAGGACATCAAGCACCTTGTCGAACAGCTGCGATTACGAGACGAGCGAATGAACTTGTTGGAACAAGACTTGCGACGCATGACGGATGATTTCAGACGACTCAGGGAAGATATGCTGCCGGCTCTCCGCCTTGTCAAAGACCAGCAGACTCCGCTGCCAAACCTCAGTGGCGGCACCCTGGGACAAGGGTTTCCATACGAAGCCACGATATCTCCTCCTGCACCTACGCCGCCACCAGGCTCTGGCCCTGGAGGCGTCAAACGACAGTACTCACAACGAAAAATCCTCATAGGCACAACGCCCAAGAACGCTTCACCTACTCAAGTAGCCCACGACAGGTCAATTGCTGAACAAACGCTGGATCCTTCCAGCGCCGCCGAACGGGCCGTCCTGTCGTCGTCACATCTTGCGGCAATGAACGGACAGACATCGTCGGCGCATCCCTCGCCAAATATGCCTTCTCCAACATCACCACAAAACTATTCTAGCAGCCCTACTTTGGGGGCACGATCCTATCGAGGGGAAACGTCTGCACCATCGAATCGATCCACAATGAATGATGCGGACCATGGCATGTACATGTCCAGGGACAAAGGTGTTATCCCCCCGGGTCCACCTAGACGCCGCGAGACCCCTGTTCCCGATACCCCGACGCCCAATTCGAATGGATCTTCTGTGGAAATATTCAAATCTTTTCGAGTCAGCATGGATGATCCGTGCTACAAGGTACTCCCGGCAGCGCTCAAAAAGTATCAAATCAACGCACCCTGGGACCAATACGCCTTGTACATCGTGTACGGTGACCAAGAGCGGTGTCTTGGCATGGAGGAGAAACCTCTGATTTTGTTTAAGCAACTTGACAAAGAAGGCAAGAAGCCCATGTTTATGCTCCGGAAAACCACAAACGCCCAAGTTGATAGCGAACCTGGTAGCGCTGGCATAGCCAATGCAGCCAGAGGGGCATCCACTGGCTATGATCCGCCTGGAGGCATTATATGAGCGCGACATGGCTCCTGATATGCAGTCTGTTTCGGTAAATGCGGCCAATCGGATTTGTTGTGTCAGACGAAAGATGTTGGAGTGCTCCTTTTAACGGATCATCCAGTTCAAGCGTATCAAGGAAATGCGCTGGAGAAGTGAGGAGACCATCCAGCGGACACGAAACTCCCCAAAGGTGCTTGTGCAGGTGGCAGTTGCTACGAGCTTCCGCATGATTGATGGTCTCGGACACGATAGTCTCGATGAAAGTTTGCGAGCTCGTGCTACTCTGGGACTTTTAGAAGCTGCACGCATGGCACATACTGACTACGTGATGTGGCTCTTGTGCCTCCAAATGCCTACCCCCCCGGAGTCTACTCCAACCTACTTTAACCTCAGCCCCTACTCTGGCACACTATACTACTCCTCATACTACTAGTGCACCCCTTGGCATTTTTTCTACTCGTCCTCTTCTCCTACCCCCCTTTTTTTTGAACTTCTTGTTTACGCGAACATACCTTGCATAGCAGCTCTGGCATTGACCTTCACTCCACACCTCTCTGTCATGTTGACAGGAAAATTAAGTGATTGGCTATTCTGATTGGATGGGACAAAGGCGTTTGGGCTGGGCAAAGTTGAATAGTATATGATGTATGACGTCTGCGGCAGAAATTGGGGTTTTTTTTCTCTTTTTGAATACACTTTACCATTTGATGAAAGAAGTTGCCTGGTAACATAATACATGTGGGAAGTAACGGAATGACAACTTGGATAGAGGATGCGACAGTGGCTACGGCTGAAAAGGACGTACATTGACATTATCATGGCCGAGATTTTGGACTAATACCTGAATGGAAAGGTTGATGACGGGGCTCGAGTGTGGCCTTGCCTCTTGTGCGTCAATTGAATATTGAATGCAGGCCGTCGCATGTAGAGATGAATTGAAGTGTGCCGAGACTCACGACTCCAGACGTCCCAGGAGACGTCTATGCGAAAAACCCACCTGCCAGCATTGAGCGGGAGCCTCCAATAAAACACCAGACGCCTGCCTTCCCATCATGGCGCGGTGCGATGACCCCATGTCCCGACTAATGGGAAGCAGCCCGACGCGACCCTCACACCCAGAATCTCGGTGGTACTAGACGTGATGGACGCATTTGAAGTCGACAGAGTATGGATATTGGACAAGCGTCAAGCCGGTCCTGAGGATGAATGGATAAGGGACAAGAGGATGAAGCGGACTTTTCGGCGTTTTCCCATTGCACCCGTGGTCCACGCTGGGCCGGTCTTCACGGCTAAGGCGGCGGGGCGAGGCAGACGCCATTGATTGATCGATGTGATTGATTGCCGTAGTCTATCGACGGGTGGGCGCATTCTAACTTTGCACGGTCGACCAAGTTGACAGTCCCACGGCTGTGTGCAGACCCAACCAGCATTCATTCATTCCCCTGGCCGCACCAAACTCGGGCCTCCTCCTCAACTCGGATCTGGGCATCAAATTCTTCCGGCCCATTTTATCCTTGGATTGATGCGGGTTATTCCCGAGCCTGCACGACGGCTTGGACGGCTGCGAGGGAGAGGTTGACTGGTAGGACGAGGTCGATGGCCAAGCTGCCATCGTCCATCTGCAACCCTTCATCTCGCGTCGAGGTAATTGGCGCTGTAAAGGAGGCTTCGCATTGCCCGCAAGCGCAGTCGCCAAAGCCCCTCTGATACGCGCACTTCGAGACGGGCGGTCACAACCACTCTCTGCCCAACACATCCATCCACCTTCCGGACTGACAGCCGTGGTCTGGGAAAAGACACCACGCTTCCAGACTGTCCCATGGGGGAGGGGGAGGGACGCACGACCTGCCTCCTCCATTCACCTTTCACCGACCAGCGTCTGTCTTTTGAATTGCGCCCGCGGGACAAGAACGCTCAACATTTAGCTTTTACGCGACGGCTCAGAAACCAACGGCATGAGCGCGGCGACGTTGGACCCGTCGCTATCAAACCCCATTCTGCCTGCCTGCGATTACCATTACCCATGACCGGATAGGCAACTGTTTAACGCTCCTTTTCACGGAGACAAGTTTTGCTCCTGGCCCTGTTGCCGGCCATTATACACCACCCATTGACATATACGCATCACTATAAGGCGAGAGACATATACAGGAATCGGAGAGCCGGGCTGCTCAAGCAGGGGAAGAAGAAGAAGAAGAAAAAGAAAGAAGGGCGAGGGGTGGAGCACAGGTCTGAGGAATCAGCAACCATGACGAGCACAAACTTCACCAGCAGCACCGCGTCAGTTTTGACCACGCCATCGACGACGCCGACGCCAACCTCGTCGAGGGGCGTGTTTACAACGTGGCCCTCGACCACGTATACGCTGCCGACGTTGACGTCTTGGGGGTCTACGCCCAACGGGTTCGGCGACTTCAACGTCGGCGACAGGATCTTGCAGCTCGTCACTAGCGGGTCGAATGGTGAGAAAATTGTCCGCGGCTTCTTGATGGGCGTTGCCATCGGCATTATTCTGGGCGGCGCGGTCTGCTGCTGGGTTCCGTGTTTCGGGAGAGGCAGGCAAGAACGACGGGAAAGGAGGAGACAGCAGCGAGAGCAGGGCCGTGATGGGGCGCAGCAGCATCCAGGCGGCCAGGCAGATGGACAGACGACGACGGCAGCAGCTCAGGCCGAAGGTGCGCCGGCCGCTGAGAGGAGCTACGTGCGTCTACGTTGGGATCGATTTCGACGGCGGCCGAGGCTTTGACCGGGGATGGGGGAATCGCGCTGGCCATGCTGTGTGCGGTTCTTGTCCATGGGATGGAATACTTTCAAGCGGATAGGTTCTTATCGGTCACAAGACACAAGGCGGTCTTTTCTTTTTTTTTTTTTTTTTTTTTTTTTGTGTGCTGCTGGGTTCCGTGTTTCGGGAGAGGCAGGCAAGAACGACGGGAAAGGAGGAGACAGCAGCGAGAGCAGGGCCGTGATGGGGCGCAGCAGCATCCAGGCGGCCAGGCAGATGGACAGACGACGACGGCAGCAGCTCAGGCCGAAGGGGCGCCGGCCGCTGAGAGGAGCTACGTGCGTCTACGTTGGGATCGATTTCGACGGCGGCCGAGGCTTTGACCGGGGATGGGGGAATCGCGCTGGCCATGCTGTGTGCGGTTCTTGTCCATGGGATGGAATACTTTCAAGCGGATAGGTTCTTATCGGTCACAAGACACAAGGCGGTTTTTTCTTTTTTTTTTTTTTTTATGTTTATAGTGTGGTCAGGATTGGATTGGATACAAAGGCGTTTTATTAGGGCACTTCGGCGGGCGGATACGGCGTTTTAATAATGATTACGCGAAGACTTATGCACAGCAGCAGAGCGTGATGGGAGCATTTTAAGGACATGACACGTTTAGAAAAAAAATAATAAATAAAAAGAACATGTCAACCATTACTTGAGTCGCTTGTGGCCCTGCCGAGCCCAGCAGATAAAAAGAACATGTGGTGAGGTACGGGCCGACGTCCTGGGCGCTACAGGCCACATGAAGTACAAAGGGAGGCCTTCAGCCCCGACTGCCACGTGTGACGGATTCGTCAGAATAAGACGATCCCATCGGTCTCGAGTTCATGCTGTGCCCCGGCTGCTTCTGGACCGCGAGGCTGGAGGGTCAATGCTGTCAAGGAGGCTCGTCACGGCACAGCCTCAAAATGCGACGACGGGCGCTCTGGCCCAGACGCTGTGGAGTCGGAGTCGAAGTGGCAGCTTACGCAGCCCAGAGCAAATGACGTACCAATTGATCCTTTTCTACTCTTTTCTTGCTTTACCGAGTACGTATGTACATGCGCTGACGGACCCCCACTATGGATCCTGCTGCGGGTCACTGGTGAGCAGTTGACGTGCGCGGGCGGCTGCGCGTCAGTTTCCAGAGTCGAACATGCTCTCAACATCCCTGTCCATCCTGGAACGCAGTTTTGCTGTTGTTTCCATCTTTATCGGCGAGAGCCGTCTCTTTTTTCGCTTTCGGCATCTTGGTGAGCTTGGTTCATTTTTTTTTATATGTCGTAATCTAGCGCTTGACGGCAACGACGCCTCCCTACAAACTAGAGTCATAAACCGCATACCACGCACGGCACGGCCTCGTTTTTCCCCTTGGACCAGGCAGAGAGACGTTCACCGGCGCGCCGCAAACTTCGCGACAAGAATGCTCGACGACAATCTCCCCACGTTTCGACTCCAGCAATCCTCCGACAATCCCCAGAACACCCTGCTCTACTTCACACACAACGGATCCGAGCCCTCGCCTGAATACCTGCTGAAGCGACCGCTGCCGTCCGAGTCCCGGAACCAATACGCTCTCGGCCTGCTCGACGTAAACTACCCCTCTGTAATATACGCCGAAGTTCTGGTCAAGCCCGAATGGACCCAGCCGAGTCTGTCGGCTGCCGAGCTACGGGCCCAGAATGGCGTGTCGACGCCCCTCCCAATGACGCCGGAGGCTTTCAACGTGCTGCTGTACAATCCGGACCAGAGCATCACCGTCAAGCGGAACCATGGAAGCTGGAGCAAGTCCAACACGTGGGACTTTGAAGTCCCTGAGCGGAGCTTCAAGGTGCCCAGCTCGAGCCAGATTGATAGGGATACCACGCCCGCTGTTCCGGAGCTGGCCCCCAAGGTGGTGTTTCGGTGGAAAAAGGACGGCCGCCTGAGTAAAGACATGACGTGCTACATGTCTGGGAGAAGTGTGGGCGGGAAGAAGAGCAAGGAGCCCGATATCACGGTTGCCATGTTCCAGGCGGGAAAGAGTGAGAGCGCCGTGACCATTTACGAACCCAACATGGCTCGCGTCGAGGTCGAGGACCGCAAAGGCCTCGAAGTGGTCCTGATATTGAGCGCCGAAGTCATCCGCGACCTGTATCTCGTCCCGCGGCAGGATCCGTTCAACACGGCGGGCGGTCCGGGGCCATCTGCTTCAAAGACGTCGAGGCCATCGGCGTCGCCGCCGCAACAGATTCCCATGGCGTCTGGGGCTCTGGGCCTCGGGGATTCCCCCGCTGGTCCGGGAGCAGGCCCTTCGGCCCGGCAAACAAATGTCGACGCCGAGACGAGACGTCTGCAAGCCATGGTGGCGGAGGAGAAGCGCCAGGCACAAGAGCGCGAGAAGCGAGACGAGGAGGAGCAGAAGAGGATCCGAAAGATGCTGGAACAAGAAGAAAAGGAGCGCCGCAGACGCGAGGCCGAGGTCGAAAAGGAGACGGAGCGTCTGCGCAAGCAATACGGCGTCCCGGCACCCCCCAACGGAGGACCGCCCGGCTCTTCGCCAGCGCTCCCTCCACGGCCGGGTCAAAATCAACACTACGCCTCGGGCGGTCTGGGCTGGGGACAACCGCCCATGCCCCCGCGTCCGAATAGCGTAGGACCTCCGCCGCAGCCGCAATCTTCGAATGCCGCCGGCAGGAAGAAGCATTCGGGCCCGTTTGGGGGGAGCGTCAGCGGGCTCTTCCATAGATCCGACGAGGATAAGCGGAACAAGGTGGAAAAGAAGAGGAGTGTGCACTTTTGAGACGGGCGGTTGTATTTTTTTCTTTCTTTTTTTCTTTGGGAGTGGTGTCTGCATGGCTAGCGGTGTTTTCTCTTTTTTTTTTTTTTTTGTCATCTGGATGGGTATACCTTGGACATTTGTATGACGACTTGATATGAATATGATTTCGGTGGTGTCGGGTGTGTATTTGCGACTTTTGAGGTTTCGCAAGAGCACAGTATGCGGTGGAATTATACTTGCCATGGCCCTCTCAGTACGCTAGCTTCTCCGTGTTATTAGTCCTGATGTGCTGCCTTGTTTGGGATACCTCTGCATGGTGGATATTCCTCGGTGATTGCCAGTCTCTCTTCTTGGAAAATACGCCCTGGCCTTTTGTCCGCGGTCGTAGCGATCGTGGCGACGCTGTATGAGATGACGGCGACTTTGACAAACCTGCCGTGTTTTTTTGACACGAGTACTCGTTTCTTCTTGGTTTCCCAATTCGAGCGCGGTAGCACGCCTCGCCGCGGGGGTTAGATTTCACAAAGGGACACATGGCGATGCGTTTATCACCGGGTACTCGTCACCCCCGGCTGTATCTGGCGTCTGCACGTCGTCGGCCCTTGGCGCGTGCTTCGTGCCCTGCCGCCCCGTCATGTCTCGCAGCTCAATCACGGCCGTCTTGCGCGCGGGGGATTGCGCGTGCCGCGACTGGATGTACGTGAGGTCGCCGGCGAAGGCGCGGGAAGCGCGGGGGATTTGCACCCGCACGTTTCCAAGTTGTTCGCGGGGTGGCAAGTCTATTGATGTGTGAACCGCCGTTGAACCGTGTGGATTCGCGACGCAGCATGCTGTTGACTGGCTGGTGCGCTGGATTATTGTGTTTTCGTGCGCGGACGGGATGATATTCTGGACGTGAGCGTGTTGGATTATATTTTCGGGGAGCGTTTGTGGGAGAGGATACGGGCATGTCTTGTGGGAGCAGCATGAGTCTGAGAATGCGTAGCGGCTGGTTTGTTCGTTCCGAGGCTATTATTTTTGGCCGATTTGCTAGATTTGGACAGTAGAAAAGGCGGCATGCAATGCAAGAGATGTTCATGTATAATGTCGGGGTGACCTGGGGACCGCAACGCCGAATCGCGAAACCGAGACATGATGGGGGCGTGCATTCATTTCATTGCTATATATTGTATATAAATCCGACCTGGACAGTCTAACCCGCCGGTGCCGATAAAGATGATGGGACGCCGCAATGGCTCGTTTCCATACCTCCAAACGCCCATAGATATGCACGACTGCTCTGCATTGTCGCACACCTGCCCGTCCCGAGCAGCCCGCTCTCTTCCCATCCCGTGTGCATAAATGACCATTGACTGTCCCCAGTCACTTGCTCTTGATCTTTTCAAGTCGCAAATCATTAATCAGCATATATCTGCTGAATCCGATGTAAAGATACCTAAACCAAACCATCTGGCTCTTGTGCGCCTGGGTCATGGCGCCCCATGCTGTCGGCAGCCCGCCCTCGCCGACGAGCTGGTTCATAAACACGAGGCCGCCTGGGTGAGCCTTGTCCTCGTGTCGCACGCCAATCGCCCACGAGGCCATGGTCGCAAAGACGTCGAGGAATGCCGAGTACTTTCGCAGAATGCTGACAGAGCTGAGCGTGTAGAGGTCGACCGGGCAAGTCCAGCCAGACTTGCCGCGCATCAGGGCACCCATAAAGGCGCGGGCGCCGTGGTACAGAGAAATGTGGTTTGGGTGTGACGACACGCCGCTGCCGTCAAAGGTGATGAGCACGTCAATGTTGGCGGTTGGCTTGGCTGAGTCGTCGGCTCGTTGGCGGCTGAGTTGCGGCGCAAAGGCGCTGCACAGGAGAGTCGCGATTCGGGATTCGTCCCATTTCGCAGTCATGGAGTCGGGGAAGTCGGTGCTAGAGAGAGAGAGAGAAAAGACGAGTTGTTAAACGATGGAGTCGTTCCAAGAGCATCGTGGGTGTGATCATGATGGAGAGAAGGGGGGAGCGGGGGAGGGAAAAGGCGGCAACATACGGGTTGTCCACTACGAACACATCATCCTCGTCCCTCAAACCCAGGTGCATACCACTCTTTACAAGTTCCTTCTTTCTAGTCTCTCCAAGGCCGTCCGAGTTGCCTGCAAACATTGTAGAGAAAAAAGAGTTGCGTTAGTGCTTAGCTCGATACGTTGGCGCCAGGTCGGAGGCTCCGTGGCAGCGACGGCTTGCTTGCGCCATTGGCTCCCAAGAGGACATAGAGACTGTCCGTACCTGTACTCAAACACAGAATCTTGACGTGATTTCCAGTCTCGGGCCGGGTCAAGGCCAGTACGGTCGGGGCGAAAAACATGGCTTCATCGTCGGGGTGGGCAATGAGCAAGCAAATGCGCTTGTTCCGGACGGCCGGGAAGCGCGACTGCACGACGCTGACGGTGTACATGTACAAAACGGGAATCACCACCACCAGGGTCGCCAGAAGACCAAGGATACGGTCCATCTCGGCGGCAAAGGGTTGGTGGTGATTTGTTGAGGCTGTCCTGACGGGCTGCGTCCAGACAAAGGCGAAGCTATCGACTATGCAAGACAAAAAGAGGCGGCTGAGCAGTTGAGAGCTCGGAGGGGCGCAAAGGCTGCCGCCACTTTGGCGACGTGCAGGGAGAGGAGCTTGCTTGTCTTGCTTCAATGTTCAATGGCATTCGGGAATGCAATCGACGTCGAGGGGCCGAGGATTGCCACAACAAGGGAGCACTCGACAGAATGAGAGTGGGCAGACGTAAATGCCACCTTGCGATTTTTGTCAACTTGGCCATTCCGGACCCTGTCCTCTTTTTCCTCTCGTGAGTCCAGGCGGCTGCTCAGCCCCTGGCTGGTTGAGCAAGGTCCAACGCCCGGCTCCAACAACCGTCAAATTGGACATGATTCTGCGTGCTAGCCGCTTTTTGATTAGGAGCTTGTCCGGGGAATTTCTTAGGGGACCAAAAACCGCCAGGGCGTCCAATGGATCGTCGTGGCCAAGCCAAGGGGGAAAGGGGAGGTGGATGGCTACGCACAATCAACTGATACATGCAGAGTACAAACAGTCAGTGATGGTACAAAGCATCAGAAAGCTCCATCAGCTGTTCGTTTCTCGAGGTTATCTCTCCGATGGTGCCCGTCTGGCGCTGCTGATTGGCGGTGCCATCCACGCAGTCCGCTGATGTCACGGCGCAACGGGGCCTAGTGCCGCCAATCTCCCAGGCACCACATGCGCAGTCCAATCTCGACATGACTACCACAAACTGCTCAGCATTGATGGGGGCCTTCAAAGTAACTTCGTGCAACTGCAACGTCACGAGACACAATTTCAATTAATTACTCGCGTACGGAGCACGCGCCTCTACTCTTGATTGGCCAATTGTGCCAGCCCTCCCTTGTCCGAATTAATAACTGTCGACCGATTGAGTCTACTGCCTCTGGAAACAGACATCATCATCACCATGGTCAAAACACGCAAGGAACGAGCTGGCAATGCCCACATCAAGCTCCGCCAGCCTGACCGGTCTGGGCCAACAGAAAAGACTCTACTCGACTTTGCCGACGAGCGAAATCTGTTTCAGCAGGTCCAACAGCGGGAGAAGGAGATGGCAAAGGAAAGGAGAAAGCAAAGCATCGCAGACGGTGATGACGACGACGACGGCGAAATTCCCACCTTGTCTCCCGGTGCAGAGCAAGTCCTCGAAGCTGCTTTATGGACCGCCACCATTGCTATGCTTCACTTCACCTTTGATGTGCTGGTGCAACATCAGTATGGACAGGAGATTAGCTGGGCGCATGTCTGCACAAGAACAGGCCGTGCTTGGCTAGGTACGATTTGCCCTCAATTTCCTCATGAAGCACCTGTATCGACCTTGACAAGACTCACTAACATTTCTGTTGCTCAGTTTTTCTATTTTTATTCTATTTTCTCCATCCATTCGAATCCGAGGCTGTCTTGGTCCCAGGGCTGCCGAGCCGATATCAGCAGCCGCTAAGACAATCCATCTTCTTCATAATGAGTGTTGCATCAGGATGCTATCTCATTTATATTTCCAATACTTATGGGTATTTGGCGACAATGAAGCAAGCACCGCCGCTGGGATGTTTGTGGCTCTGGGCTGTTGTAGAATTGGACCTCGTCTGGGGCTGCCTTAGTCTGCTCCTGGCTGCCGTCTTCCTCAAGCAAGGAGGCTACGAAATCAAATAGAGGACGCCAGACCGGAAGAGACGACATGGTCTGGCATTGCCAATTTCCATCATCTAGTGCTACTAAAGATATACGGCGGTTTCCTGCGTAATGATTCGTGGTCGGATTCAGGCTTATCCAATCGGACTGCATCCCGACCATGAATGAGAAGTTGTTGCACTAGGGTTTCCAGACGGTTGTACTCGTCCTTGCGACTTTCGACTACACCATCCATCTTTCTTGAATTCTCATGTGCCTTGAATTCTCCCCACTTCGTCCTCGCCTCCAGGTCACTTAGACGAGACGAGATCATGCTCATCTGAAGAAACTGCACTCTTGCAGTCAATGCCTCGCGCTGCCGCACCAGCTCCAGCGCCTTGCTCCGCACCGACATCCAGGCCATGCCGACAGAAGGGGTGCTACGCTGCCAGCTGGGCACCAGTGTCCACCGATCATCTCGATTGCCTGGCCCGCGCGGTGTGCTTGCCTTGGACTCGACTTCTGTCACAAGGTCCAGTAGCCGTTGCTCTAGATTAATCAGATCTTCCATGACGAAGTGTACATCTGATATTCCATTTGACGGCCATGAGCACCACCATCGTGTGCGTGCTGAACCCCCAATGTTCTCAAAAGCTCACTGAGCCACGTAGACTCAGTTTTGTACCACGACAGTGAGGTCTTGACTCGGAAGTATTCTTCGTCGCTATTGCGGAGATAGTTGAGACGGGCATATATCGCTGCCGCAATGGCAACGACGAAAGTCAAGATGCCGACAATGTTGGATGTAGTTGAGAGCGGCGAGTCTTGTTGGGCATTGGAGTCCATTCCGGCTGAGACCAGGCAGGGCCAAAACGATTTGCCATGTGCAATGATGATGGGCCAGGACGAATCTCACTGTAAGCTCGTGGCAATTAGCCAAAATGGCCGTGGAACTAGTACGGTAAATAGGCTCCTTCTTAACTCATGGGGGCGTATGAAGGGGGGCATTCGGTGTCCCCTGAGATGCGTGCACAAAAATCCATCTTGGCAAGGATGGTACAGCGGCCAGCAGCTCTTGCTCATCACATGATTTGATGTTATTCAGAAGTACACATCTCGGCTCAGAGTTGGTACAACGTAGATGCGTTTGTGTCGTGTCATAATACGGGATCGTGGAACTCATGGACTGGCCTATCTTGCGGGCTATTTGGCATATCGCGCGAGACGGAGGTACATGAGATGAGAGCACACGGCTATGCCAAGGCGAAAACACATCGAGGCCCCCACAACAACGGGACTCGTCACCAAGACATTGAGAAAGGCAGCCATATGCTTCAAAATGGTCTTGCTGAACTCAAGAGAGGGACATTGGCGACTGCTCGTACTTGTTGCCAATACATGCATGGGATGTAGCGAGGCAAACATGTGCTGCGCGACCAGCTGTGATGCCGCTATTGCTAATGAGTCATGGAGCAGACGTTGAAGAGCTGGCTCGGTCTTGGAAAACCGTCCCCACTTGGCAATGATTGCAGGAATACTAGAGACCAATTTATATAGCCTCTCTTGTGGCGATTGTGATGGAGGTTTGCAGACCTAGGGGTATTACAAAGAATCAATGGATCATGGCACGCAGCAAGTCACTGGTCCACTCCACCTAGCGATTGAAGCAAATGCATTATACTACAGGATGATGGCTCAATTTGACCCCGCGCGTAAATATACTAAAATCCATTATATATGCCTCGTATAAATTCGCTATGCAACGCGTATGCATTCACCACGTATGCCTAACCATCCTCATACTCTCACACTTCTACCGCCGCATGGTGCAACCAGATCGTGAAACAAGACCGTGAAACAAGGAAGGCAAAAATATTCTTGTGATACGAAAACATGGAAACAAATCTATACCCTCTTCGCAACGAACGACTCATGTACCCTTTCTCTGAGGCTCTGCGAATCGAATGCCTGGCCTCGCCGGGGGAACTCTCTCCGTTCCCTCGTCCTCAGAGTCGCTGTCTTCCTCAGCCGCAGGGCCACCCATCCCCAAGGCCGCCTGGCGTCGGCGTTTTTCTGCCGGCGTTTCGCCAGTATCGTCATTTTCTTTGTCGTCATCTTCAGCCTGGCCGGCAAGGACTGCCAGCCGGCGTCTGCGCTCAACGCCGGTCTCGCTTTGTTCCTCGGACGGATGGTCACGTCGACCGCGAGGGGGCTCGGTGACCTGGGGTTGCTTTCGAGTCGGTGACATGGATACGGAACGTTTTTCTGCAGCACGGCTGCTTTCCCCGTTGCTGCTGCCACTCTCGCTGTCATGTTCCCGAATTGCTGGAACCGGACGCTGTGACTGAGTAATCTTGGTTTTCACAGGCGCGTCTTGCCTGGCAATAGACTTGAGGGCGTTTGAGGCGGTAGAGTGGTCGACAACTTCGTTGCGCGTACCGGCGTCTAGCTTCTGAACTTCTCTGATAAAGTCCTCCTTGGTCATGCGCCTACCAACACCGCCGATAGTGAATCTGATTTTCTTATCGTCGTCATCCTGCTGCTGCTGTTGGGCGACACTCTTGCGCCTAACCCCGTCACCACGTTGGCCAAAGCCAGCCCAGCCAGGTCTGGGTTGCGACTTGTTTGATGATTCGACGCCTGCCTGGCCCTCTTCCGCTGCTGCAGCAGTATTCTTTTCGCTTTGACGGGCGAGAGCACCCAGGCCAAGATACTTAAGGCTTGCACCAATTAGATCGCTCTCCTGTCCGTCAGGCTTGGACGAAGGCAGCTCGTATGTCTTGACGACTTCACCGTCTTCATCTTCAACAATAATCTGAAGTAAAATGGTCAGTCGCCGCCACACACTCCAAAAAAAAAAAAAAAAAAAAAAAAAAAAACAGAGCATGGAACTGGCGCAGGAAACTTACTGTGTTGCCGAATTGGTAGGCGCGGGCTGGCTCATGTCGACGTTCGCTCTTGCCTTTGTCCTTACGCTTCTCCAGTTCCGACGTGTAATATTCGCTCATCTTACGACGCCAACCTCCGTGTCGCCAGCCAGACGATGGCTCACCCTCTGGTTTGGCACTGGCAGGTTGGTCTTTTTCTTCCGTCTTCGAACTTCGCTCCTGGTCGCCTTGCGGGTTAGGCTGCATGTCGATAACGTCGCCATTTTCGTTCTCGAATACGAGATGGCTGCCTTCATCATAGACATTAATTTGAGGTGAGTGATCATGAGGAGATTCACCCTGCTCATCTGTTTCACCGTGCTTCTCAGTACGCTGTTCGTCGGAGAACATGGTAGAGTCGGTATTCTCCCGCGTTGGTGATGACGGCTCTTTCTCTGATGCCTCAGTTTGCGAAGGTCTGCTAGGGAAGATAGCTGACTGGCTGATCGGTCCTCCAGGCCCAATTCCATCATCCCACTTTTTGTGTTTTCGTTTCCTGGATACGAGTGAGGAGGCACGACTGCCTGAGCGACTATGTCCCTCCTCATCTCTCTGTCGACGCAAGAACCCTGTTGGTGGAGCAAGTGTTCCGGGTGGGAACTCTGGATCTTTGAGATCATCGAGCGAGGTCTCCGACATGGTCTTGGCCATGGATCTAGACTGAGATGATATTCTGGGCAGCCTGTTCATCCACGAAGGGCCATCTTCTGGAGCCGCGGTATATGACATGGTGAGCGTCAAGGTGTTGATCCTCTTTCCTAGAGTGAAGACGGCTATTGAAGACCCGTGGATGAGAATGGATGAGATGACGAGAAACGTCACAATAGGCCATACAAGGTAGATAAGAGCAAAATGAGGTGCATCCGGTGGAGGTAATTCTCCCAAAGGCACCGGCTCATCATGCTCCAATTCCGCTCGTGCAAGAATGGCGACAAAGATTGCACCGACGCCTATGGGGCCAAAATGTCCTGCAAAGAGCGCCTCTCTCCAATTCTTAACATCAGGTATAAATGGTTTGAGTGCCATCATGATGGGAATGCGACGGAAAAGAAGTACGAAGATGGCAATAACGACGAGACGCCACGCCGCCATGCCGAATGCACCGTCGTTGTATTGTTCCCAAGGAATAATGGTGCCGAAATAAACAAAATAAGTCAAGTTGAGCAGCAAGTCAATAACGTTGGACACATGCGACTCCTCCGTCTTTTCGCCAAACCATCCGTCGTTGGAAAAGCCGACACCCGCTGCAAAGCCAACCAGGAGATCGTCCACGCCGAGAATACTGCCCGACCCAGCGCAGAACAGGGCTACAACAAAGTAGAAGACCAGAAAGCTTTCGCGGTCAATCAAATCGTGGGACTCGGCATACTTGATGCCGTGACGAGCAATATAGCCAATAAGGAAGCCATAAACAGCGCCGAAGATGCACTCGTACAAAACGACATAGACGATAAAGTGAAAACTGACATCCCTGGCATCTCTGTTGTATTGGATGAGATAGAGAGACAGGTAGATGAAAGGGAACGCCATGCCATCATTGCACCCGGACTCCGCAGAGAGAAGATCTCGCAAATGCTTTGGGACCCGTTTCGCAAACTTGCCTTTACCAACAACGGATGAGGCCAGAACGGGGTCAGTAGCGGTTACACATGCTGCAACGACGAGAGAGTCAAGCCAGTTCAGACCCGGCATCATCCACCATACAAATAAGCTGGTAAGAAGCCATCCTACAGTCATGACCGGGACTAGAAGGAAGATGACGGATTTCCAGTGCTTCTCCATGTAAAATTTGGGAAGTTCAACACCGACGGCGAAACACTGAACGACGAGGACAATGCGAGAGAATTCGACGGTGACAATATCGGTATTGCCCCAAGAATTGGGGTCAATAAGATTGGCGACGTGGGGTCCGAAGATGACACCGCACAATGTAGCAACGGTAGCTTCACCTATATACATTCGCTCTTTAATGAAGGAAGAACAAAGCATGAACAGCGATGTAAAGCCACCAAGAATGATATACACCAAGTGCGGCTTGGTGATATCAAGTTGCTCCCAAGCCATCCTGGTGGTGGTTTGCGCGACCAAGGACGTGCTGAATTCGTGGTGTATTTGTCGGATTTCGGAAGAGCTTTCTTCAGCCTCGAGTTCCTGAACCTAGGAGGTCTAGTCACGTCCAAGGTCCTGGCGTGAAGCGCAAGGAAGGTTGCTGCTGCTTTCCCGGCAGAGTCGGCCGTGAGGTGTTGTTGACTCGGCGCCGGCCAATCGATCTCGAGCCGGAGAGGACGACGGTCGGATACATGCAGATAGACTCTTCTGTCGGAATGGGAAACGGGAAAACGGCGTACACTCTGCCCAACAACTTAATCGAAGCTGGCTCTAATTTATCTTCGCAAGCGGTGTCGTCTCCGGTTTACGACGACAAAAATGATGTCGCAACAGACGAGTTGGCACGGACGGGTATCGCGGAGTCGAGACAGATGCAGCAGATGCTTGGTTCGACGCTCGAGGCAAAAGTGTCGTCACTTTGCAGGCGAGATGGGCGAGGCCAGGGGACGGGACCGCCAATGGACCACAGAAGGCTCAGAAACAAAAACAAAAGTCGACAAACCAGCGGGGCGGGTCTCAGCCCGGAGAATCGGAACGGGTCTCAATGGTCTCGTGCTCGCAAGCGCTATCTGAGTAGTGCGGCTCTTTGCAAAGTTGACGCAAGGGCAGCCACGGCTTCAGGCGAGACCGTCTCAACTAATGCGTCGATGGTGAATGGGAAGGGGAAGTTGGGATAAAACGAGAGCAGGATATGGACAAGGACAAAGAGAGAGAAAAAAAGCCAATCAGCTGGCGATTACGACGAATTATTATGCAGGCACGCACTTTGACATTTAGAACGTCGGTGCTGGCAAGAAAATGGCCAAGCCAAGACTTTTGGATCCATCAGATCCGGGATGAAAGTTGGACGCACGAATCGGAGTGGACAGATGGAAGAGTTTTGGAGGCTGGCCAACGCCAGAGACTAATATGGTGCCGTTTGGCGCTGACCATGGATGGGCCGTGACTCTGTGAGAGGCAAAGAGATGGACCACCGAGTGGAGACGCATGGCAAAGGCACGCCGTGGCAACGTGGATGGTGCTCTCCTCGATGTATTACGGGGGAACTACGACTCTGTCGTGTGCCAACAATTTTCCAGCGAGTTGCGAGTAGGGCAAACTGGAAGCCCAAGGACAAAAGTTGATTTGCAAGCCTAGGCCGAAGTGTCACTTTCAGACCGGTTCGACCTCGCAAGGTATCACAACTCGGCATCCCGGCACGGAACGGACGGTACAGCGCGCTCTGTCATTTCTCCAACTTGAATGGCTACAATGCCAAATACGAACAACTACCGGCGTGCCCTTGCAGCCGACCGCCGGAGATATCGTTTCAGCTCTTGAATGCCATCTTGAACTTCCTTGCGCGCTCTGTTGAGGGCAGGTCTATAGCTCGTGGCGTCACCACACCGGCGCCGCGGCTGATCCTAGACAATAACCGGTCAGCCTCTCAGCCAACCGGCGCTGGTCCTTGATCTGAAAACCCACGATCTTTTATGCTTAACTTTACTTTTGGATAGCTGTAGCATCCCTGGAAGCCTAACAAACCCCCAACGTGCCCGACGACCACTGTCGCCCGCCCTCTTGAGATTGAGTCTCCGAATATTCCCGCCAAATTGGAGCTCGTTCCCGCTCCCCCACGGTAGGACAAGTCGGTGATGAGCATTGTTGAAAATCCCCCACTCGTGGCACTCGCATTTGACTGTTGACTGTCCACTCAAGGCAGAAAGAAGCTGCAAGCCAAAAGAAGAAAATCGCCCCCGGTGAGCGGCGATTTGTGCCCACAGTCCCCCCGCCTGCTGCGAGATTGGACACGAGCAGGTCACCAACCCATGGCCCGTCCCTGTACGACGGACGGAGACTTCGAATCGTCTTCCACGTGCCGAACGCCAGCCATACAAGCGTGCAACGCTGTCTCAAGCCCCCGAGAGTCAATTACATCCGATTCAGCAAGTGACATTCGAGAATGAATGAAGGTACCACAACTTCAAGGAACTTCAAGGGGCCTCCCTCCTGCTTGTCGTAAAAGCTCCTGCGCAAACTATCAGCAGAACAAATACCTATTTCGATAAGACTTCTCTCAAACATGCCGAGCAAAATGCATGCCGGCCAGCGTCACTCCACAATCAGCAGCCTCTTATCTGCTCCCACGCAAAGCTGCCAGGATGTGGAGGAACAAAAAAGGACCAACTGTTGGCTGCCAAACATCGAAACTTATCAAGCGTCTGACCTCACCGCCCGTTTTCTCCCGAACGTAGCTTCAGAATCAGAGATTGCTCAATGGTAATCGTCCCGCTTACATGTCGCGCGATTGGGCGTCGAGAAACGACATCTCAAGATACCGAGACAGACGCGCGACTCTCGAGTCAATCTGCAATGCGCATGGCACGCGTGCCGTAAACGGCTCCCTTGTATTCGAGAATCGAGACAAAGCGCTCCTTCTTCTTTGTTTCGGTCAGTCAGTGATCCCTGCATATTGTGTGGCGGTGAAGATGCCCTCCGGGATGTTATACAGGCTGTGGCTTGAAACAGGATGAACCTGAGCGAATCCACAATGCCTCATTTGATAGGATAGATGGAAGCTATAAAGCATCAATAATTTGAGAAGCTGAAAGTCTTGGGCACCGATGTGGTCCAAGACCAAATGTGTCGGCAATAGCCTCTTTTGCCAGAATCACGTCAGTGGTGACGCGAGTTGCGCGTGGCCTCATCGTCCGCAAAGCAATGTTGTGAGCGCCACTGATTCTGCGGTATGGAATTGATGCATGTACTCGCCATAATTTTTATTTTTGTTTTGTTTTCTTTTTCAAAGTATTCATATTTGGTAACACAGCAGCTTATCCACACCATCAGCTTACAGGGCCCCGCGCCTGATTTAGAACATGTCTGTTTTTGAAACGGTTCTCGGTATGTTCTTAACCAGGGGAGAATACGGAGCCTGCAGCATTTTGAGGTTAATTACTCCAAGATTACATAATCTGAATTGATACTCTTCTACTCTGCAGAGGCCAAGGCCAGAAAAGCTTCATCGGGGCCTTCCTGATCTTCGTACATCCAATACATTAAACAATAATTAATCAATCTTATACATTATTTCTGCCCTCACACACGCAGCTCCGACCATCTAGGTAACCCGGGTATAAATCCGTCTAATAAACTCCCCATTGATGTATCCAGCACCGTGCACATTACAATATGGCCCTGTTCCAATGAACACCCCTTGGTAATCCACGGCTCCCATCATTAACTTCATCAATTCATGTACACTGCTACGGCAAAAAAAAGGATTGCAAGGATCTTTGAGAGAAAATTGATAGATTCCTGCGACGCAGTTCCCGGTACAAAGTCAAAAGGGCTCCCACCTCCTCCAGGTGGCTGTGTTCGTCGAGGCGGACGCTCGTCGGTTGATGAAGACGTAGCAGTACTTGTCGTAGTCACTTGTACTTCTGTGCTGTCCTCTTGTGTCCTTGATTCCGTGGCTATTGACGCTATGGTAGAGGTCGGTGTTGACACATCGCCATCGTCGTCGCTCGTTGAGGACGTAGTTGAGGACGTAGTTGGTGTTATAGTTGGTGCTATAGTTGGTGCTATAGTTGATGACATAGTTGGGCTCAGTGTAGGTGTAGCAGACGTAGTTGATGATGGCTTTGACTTGGTAGTGCGTCTAGGCGAAGTTGGCGGCGGCGTATCGAACGGTATTCTGGAAAAGGTCCCTGGCCGTGGAAAGCTAATTGAGGAACTGGTTTGCGCTGATGTGGGTGACTGCCTGTTACCGCAAATCGCAATTACGAGCCTTCCTTTTTGTGCCTGGTCTAACAACGAAGTTGACCCAGTCCTGGCCAAAACGCATGAGTCCCGAATTTTCGTCTCTACTTCCAGGATTCTGCTTATGCAGGTGGAGGAGCAAGTTTTGCCTTCGCCAAAGTCCTCCATGGAGCAACCTCGCAGTGGTGTATTGTATGCGGAGGCGCATCCCAATGGTAATGACATGGTGGATATTGACTCGAAATTTGTCAGGGTCAAGAGTGAGCCCGATGCCTCCACGGCCAACAGCAGCACCACGCACAAGGTATTCGCTAGGTTTAATAGACTTCTTGCCATTACTGCAACTGCACAGGCGTGAGGCCGTACCGGTTGATGCTATTTGGTTGAAGTAGCCAACTCCAGATGCAATCCGTCAGAATACTGTGGAGTTGAAGGATAAAATGACTGGCAAATAGCTAGTTGATTTCCAAAAAAAAATAAGAGTATGGGTCCTAGAACAGTCCGCAGACTAGGCAGTCGAAAACTCGCTCTTGAAACACCACGTGTCAGAGACGGAGAGAATATGACGTCGTGATGTATTCGGAACACCAGGCGCCGATCTTGGGCCAGCGGGATCTACAATCCCACGGGTTTTGGTCCTGCGTCGGGTTCTAAATCGCCGATTTTTTTCTGGATGAACATGCTTTAGCGGTTGATGCTTCCAATTATGAATATGAAATTATACGAACCATTCATGCAGCGCTTCTTGCCTGAAGCGCCAAGCCGGGAATATGAGGTGCGAGACAAGAGTAAAGACGACGTGTACGTTTCGGCTCTTATGATTCCCGGTAGGTGTCCTCTACCCAAAGGATTGCAGGAAAGGCATTTGCCAAATGCTCACTCACTCAAGTCAGTGATCTGTGACGTCGTGATGGTTCTCGGTTATCCAGTTCCAAGACCTTGGATGGCAACAGTTGGAAACAGCATAAAGTTGCCCTTGTTATTGAAGAGAAATGTTGGGAGGAAGAGGGAAAAAATAGAAAATGTGCAGGAAGAAGGCGAGAAAGTTGGCAGCAAGTAGAAAAGGATGGCCCTTTCCTTGGCCACGCTGTCGGGAGGGGAAGCCATGCCCATTTTTTGCGCAACAGGGGATAGGAACGAAACGGTAACGACACGGTGAGAGAGGAATCTGTTTCCATCCCGATGCTAGCTCGATCAGACACGGTGCCGCTGGCTGGAAAATGGAACGATGGCCAATGCATGTGATGGTGATGAAGACGGAACGAAACGAGGTGTGTTTGAGGGCTGAGGCGGGATCCGTGAACAACAACACGCTATTGGTGGAGCGGGCGAACACAGTGTCGATGGAGAAATCCACACGTGCACCAGGGACACTAAGATATCCGCAGAAAAATTGGAGCATTGTGGACGATGGACGACAAGCAGCAAGATGATGGCGCTCTTTCGTATGGCAGCCAAAAAAAAAACGGCCGGCGCTGGTTCCATTATTGCGTCGGGTGCTTCTTGGGCAGATTTGCGAGATGACGTCGAACAGACACGATGGATGGGGCACGTCAACACGTGTGAGTTTTCGAACAAGGCCGCCGACCTGGAACTCACCATCTCGTCCACGGACGCTTGCTTTCGCGCCATGGTCACCGTCAACTTCGGAAATCCTCCCTCCTGTTGGCCATCATAATGCGGGGTTGCTTACGCTTACGGCCTGGCCATGGATTGTTCGCTGTTCGGCATCTCGGTTCCGGCAGTGAGTTGCAGCAATCACTCGCTGCTTTATCCACTGCGGATGCGGAATCTGGTGTCAACTCCAACTCCGTCTGTGGCCAGATCTCAGCCGAAGATTGCCGTGATCCGAATTACATCATCTACCTAGGCGCCCAAATCTCTGGCCATGCTAGAGTCAGGGCCAAAAAGCTATAGCTTTGGTGGTCAGAGCCCAGGGGCAGCGATATACCCTCCCAGATATTTCACGCAACAACCGAGCGCCTCCCCAGTTCAGTACATGTTCGTGATAAGACACGATGTACTTGCTTTTGATATTGGGCGGCGCCCTGATCGCCCTTGTTCTCACATGCCTGTCTGCAGCCGTCATCACCGCCGTCTTCTCCCCACTGCGATCTCTCCCTGGACCCTTTTGGGCACGGTTTACGCGCCTGTGGTATTTCAAGCGCGTTTACGAGGGAAACTTTGAACATGACAATATTCAAATGCATCGTCGGTACGGCCGGGTTGTGCGCATTGCCCCCAACGTGTACAGCATTGACGCCCCGGACGCCGTGAGCAAAGTCTACGGCATCGCATCCAAGATGCCAAAGTCGGACTGGTATGAGGGCTGGAAACACCCGTCGCCAGACCGTTGGACCTTGTTTCCGGATCGAGACATCCAGAGACACGCAGAAACCAGAAGGCGATTCCAGGGCCTCTACAGCATGTCGAGCTTGGTGAGCTATGAGAATTACGTCGACGAGTGTACCGATATTCTGCAGCGACGACTCTCCGAGTTTGCCAGACATGGTTCCACCATTGACATGACACACTGGTTTCAGTGTTATGCATTTGATGTCATTGGTAACATCACGTACTCCAAAAGATTCGGCTTCCTCGACCGTGGCGACGACGTTGATGGCATCATGAGAGCCTTGCATGGATCCATGATATACAGCACCCTGGTAGGCATCTTCCCGGCGTTGCACAAGTACATTTACCATGCCATGAACAAACTAAATGTCGGCGGAGCTGTCGGGAGAACATATCTCATGAAGTTTGTGAGCGAAAGAATCCAACAGAGAAAGTCGGAAAGGGGTCAATATGCAGAGAGGTCCGTCTCCTTGGATGAGAATGCTCCTCAGGATTTTCTTGAGAAACTCATGGTTCAGAATGAGGACAATCCGCAAAAAGTAACGTCATATCACCTTTTTATGATGGGGCTCTCCAACATTATTGCCGGCGCCGACACCACGGCAATTAGCCTTTCGGCAGTTTTGTACCATTTGATTCGGAATCCAGACTCGTTGCGGAAGCTAAGAGACGAGGTCCAACAGCGCTTCTCGGAGGGTCTATTTGATGGAACGCACCTCACGTTCAAGCAGAGCCAAGAAATGCCGTATCTGCAGGCTGTCATCAAAGAAGCTCTTCGACTGCACGCTGCGACTGGCCTACCGCTCTGGCGAGTAGTCACGGACGGTGGCTTGGAGCTTGACGGACATTTCTTCCCTCCAGGCTCGGTTATTGGTCTCAACACTTGGGTCGCGCACTACAATGAGGACGTGTTTGGTCCTGACGCGAAGCAATTTCGGCCAGAACGATGGATCGAGACCGGTGATAACGGAGCTGATATAAAGGCCATGAACGCATATTACTTACCGGTGAGTAACAATCATGTGGCCATCGGCCTCGGCAGTCTGCTAATCGTTTGTAGTTTGGCCTTGGGTCGCGCACATGCTTGGGGAGACATATTTCCTTGTTGGAAATGTCCAAGCTGATTCCACTGCTGGTGAGAAACTTTGACTTTGAGCTGGTTGGTGGGCGAGATGGCTGGAAAACCGAGAATTACTGGTTTGTCAAGCCGACAAACTTCTTCGTTAGGGTTGTAGATGGCAAATCTTGAACAAGATTTTTTCACTTTCATGGAACCCGAGATGCTGGTAACAGTGACCAAATATACGACAAGCTGAATCTAGTAGCTGAGTCTAGATTCCCAAGCGTTGAGCTTGTCTCGAGATCAAATCAGCACAGACACTACGTTAGGCCATTCAAATAACATACAACCATCGCTTACAACATGTACGCAAAAATTCCGCAATGCTTCCATTCCTCATAATCTCATGACAAAACATGGCAGACAAGAAAACACGGCACTGGGGGCCATGGCCATTGGAAGAAAGGCAAAAGACAGCATTACTTTTCACGCCCCGGCCAATATTACGGCGCACATGGCCAGAGCCACGACAGACACGATGCTCGGCTTCAACATGGCGGCCACTGCGGATATTTCCTGACCGACCTCGTCCCCAAACTGCCCGATGACATTCCCCCTCGGCCAGTACTCGCACACGAGATACCACCCGGACTCGCCGCACAGCCGTCTATCGCACCCGACAGCAGTGGTGTTCTTCCACACCAGCTGCGTGAAATGGCCCGTGTCGTGCGTGAACCGGGGGTCCCCAAAGTCGAACTTGTCCCTCTCGTTGCCCCAGGCCTCGACGCTCGCAGTGGCGTTCGGATACCCCTCGGCCAGGTTCTCGCCGTACGGACCGCCCGAGTGCTCGAACTTGCAGTCGCTCTGTTCGAGGTAGTCGGCGGCGAAGGACGCGAGCGTCTTGTTCCACGAGACGGCCGTGGCGTTGTGCTCCCTGCGGTAGAAGTTGGTGCTGTTGAGGATCGCCGACGTGAACTTGTCGGTTGTCTTCCACTGCGGCTCGTCGGACGGGATGGCCGGGGGGACGGTGACTGTCACGACGGCCGAGAGGCTCAGCCCCGGGAAGAGCGATAGAGTGATGGGTGCGAATAATGGTTTCATTGCGAGGTTGCGAATGAGATCAAGAGCGTTCCGGTGCTGTAAGAATCATGCAGCGAAATTGCGTCGCCAGACAAGCACCGCCCGGACAGCAGGGTAAAAAGACCACAGACTACGTAAAGAGCCGGGGGATCTGATCTGCTGGACGGTCAGATTTAAGCGATTGGTTCCAAGGAAGTATTTCCTGCTCTAGGGCGATGAAAGGTGGTGTTGTAGTCGTGACGTAGGCACGTCGCCTCTCCGCGTGGCGCAGATTAGCCATGGACGGAACGAGCAAGAGGCAGAGATTCCCATTGCTGCAAGCGGAAACTGGGATTCCACACGGTGCAGCGAGTTTGAAATGCCGCCGTTGCCGATGCCAAGGGGACATTTACTGGGTGTGACGCTTTTCCGCTCTGACATGAGGGCAAGTAGACTCGTGAATATTGAACAATGACAAGTTGCAACTTGCATGAGGTGGAACACGGCCGGGGGTGGCGGGCGCTTAGCGAAACGCGTGCATGGCGGGAGAGTTGCCGCGAATCGACGTCTTGTCATGTATATCTGACCTTGTTTTATTGTCTATTGATTGTTATTTCATTGAGTTCTGCGAGATGACGGAAAGGGTGCACTTGGGTCTTGTCCATCGACGCTGGATTGGTACAAAGGGGCGCACGCACGCACATTACGCAAAGGGATCATGAAAGACGCGGATAAGAAGATGGGGAAAAAAGAGCGGGAATAAAGGGTTGAAGGGATAAAAGAGCAAAGAATCCATGAATCGAAAACGTGAGAGTACATAAGGAGAAAGGGGGCAGGTTGGAGACGAATGTCACCCTGATTCAAGCAGATGACAAGATTCGCCCAGAAACAAGATGCCACCTTTATGTATATAATTCACACTATATTCAAATAGAAAAGTGATATGTACCACAGCATAATATAATTCAAGCAATGCTCTTCAAGTAAAGGCCTTTCGATACCAACTAGTTCACAGAGACGAGTTCGACTCGCTCCATGCCAGGTCGGAATCCGCTGGGAATCAAACATTGTGAGCCAAGTGCTGTAGTATCCCAAGGCTCGTCTGGTCGAGATCCGAGCGTGCTCATCATTGCCCATTCTCCAAGTATAGTCGTTGATTGCAAGGCAGGCTCCAGGAGAGTGGTCAACCACGTCCATCGTTATAGTAACAAGGACACCATCTTTTTCATCTTGACTCGTTCCAGAAACCTAGTCATTGGTACACACATCCCATCGAGTCCCACGATTCGCGATTCAACCTTGTCGTTGGGGCGCAGCCCTTGCTGCTTCTCATGGCTAAATGTATGACATGTAGCAAGTACATCAAGATGTATCAAGTCTTTCTGCTTCATAAACGACTTGACGTATACAAGAAGATTGTCTGTGGACAGCGAAGAATAAGAACGATCAGTGGTATACAGAGCCTCAAATATAGTATTAAATGAAAGAGGCAAAGAAAAGGGTTCCAACATCTGCCAAGTTTCCCCGATTAGCCATTACTTGTATCAGCTATTGCTGCTCACCCAACCTGTCGTCCGGAGACGCTACATATGCCATTGCGCTCTCCAGACCTCCCCGCAGGGTGTTGGTGAGACGCACTCTTGCGACGCGAAAAGTATTCACCGTCTTCGGTATGGAACATCAACCTGACTGGCCTGTATCCAGGCAACAATCCTGGCAGAAACTCACCAGCCATGCGACTTGACCTTCTTCAGTACTTAAGACTAGGGTAGCCATACCAACAGCTCGGAAAATGTCATAACTCATGTCACTCATCACTTTGAATCAGCCTGGCCAAGGCGAACTAGTAAGGATTGTTTTTGAAAACCGCAATCTCCAGCCGGCAATGTGTTACCTACCCCACGTGTTGGATTTCGAAAAGCGTCCTTCGCCCGAAATGACATTCTCATCCCATCAGCCATGGTTGTGCGGTAAGCCCCGGAAATCCGAGTAATCGAAAGCGACAAACATCACGTGGTGCAATGTCCAGCAATCGACAAGTCAAAGAGCCCCTCTTGTAAGCTAGAATAGACCGTATATGGCTGGCGCAGTTTGATTCGCATCATCTTTCACTTTTGCTTCCACGTGGGTCTGGTTGGATAGATGCCATCATGTCCTAAGGGTACGGATTCATGGTTACAACAGGGAAGCCCCCCTGTGACCTTGCGCATGACCTTGCGTTGGCTCGCGGCCAACTGCATCCAGTTTCGTACTCCTGACAAGTATGGTATTTCAGCCGGTGCGCGGGAGCGTTTTCTGGACGAAGCTGGCCCTAAAAGATGTCTTCTTTCCTCTGGTCTAATTACAACCACTAATGCAACCCCCAGAACCCGTTGTTTAATCGATTGGCCCCTTGTATTCACGCAGCTGAGAGTGTGTGTGGGGTCTGGAGTTATATCCCTGTTGTTGCATTGAATGTGTTATCTTTGGCCGTCGTTCTAGACAAACTTCTTGCGCCGAGACTTTTGCCGACTGCACCGCCCTCACAGTTTACCTCGTTTGGTGTGAAATCGTATCCATCACGCGTCGTCGGCTTGTCATTTTGGGTAATCTGCGGCTCTGTGCGACTGCTTTCTCCCTCTTTTCTCTCCTCCATACTAGAGACACAATCGTCTCATACAAGGCATGGTTAGTAATACCTAAAAGCCGGTCGCTGGTAGCCGTTGGTGGCCTTTTACTCGCAACGCCCTTGCCTTGCGATGAGCAAGCGGTCTGGCCCAGCTCATCAGGTCGTTATCTCAAAGGGCCATCGTCGTGGTCCCCGGTGCCATGGGCGGCAAGTTGTCCTACTTATTCATTGCCCAACTGAAGCCCGTTGATTAACATGTGATAGAAGACATGGTGAAGTGCTCGGGGAATTACTCTCCCGAGGAGCAGACCAGTTACACCACTGGGCAAATGACAACTTTAGCCAAGCATCCGTTTCCTCGTTTCTGGTGATGAGTACCACTCGTTTTCCCGTAGGCTTTTGCCAGACACAGTCAAGCCGTGCTACCCCAGGGTCTAGCTCGTGCATGCCTCGACCAGGGAAGCATCCACGCCTCGCACTTTCTGGAGTACCAGGTAGTTAGTTAGTTGCAAGTTCCTTCAGCATTGCCCACCTCTAATTTCTCGGCTGTGATCTGCACCGCACTAAAAACCTGGGGAAAGCAGGGGCCCTGACGCTGGTGTGAGCGCCTCTGATGGGCGCAAGCTGGGTCCAAAAAAAACCTGGCCGATCAAGGGCCGCCCTCCAGGTACAGATAGATACTTGAATCTATAGCACACTCATGTTTCTCCGTACAGCTGTACTCATGCTCCATGGATCATTCTGGTGACGTATGCTCCATAGTGCGAATGTCGGCCCAATCACCCGTCTGTTACGACCCTTGGAAACCTCCAGGGTGAACATCATGGGGTTATATTGGTGGAGTCAGAGACAGGTACATACACCGATTGCGAGACAGACGAGGCGTCCTAGTCAACCGTTGTCCATACAATGTGAAAAGCTCCCCGGCACTTGTTCCATGGCCGTTCCGTACATAGGGCCAACGATGGGCCGTTGCCGAAAGACCCGAGCCAACTTGACAAAGTGCTGAGAAGTTGGCAACTTGGGACGAGCTGCACTAATACTCTGCGTTGCTGATTCGTGAGCTCCTAACAACCCGCGCTCCTCATTCCAAACTTGGTACCACGGAACGGTCGGCTTTGTCCAACTATCATGACCTGGCACATCCGGGCCACATCGAGGAGGGCCGTCTGGCAGATGGGCAATGCCTCGACCTGGTTGGCATGTGCCACTAGTCCTGGAGTATGCTTCCTCGCCCGTTGTGCATACTGGGCCTGCAGGATTGTCCAATCTTATCTGCATCAAAACTGTAGCCATGCATACCAAGGTTTGTAGACGAATAAAAAGTAGCCGTAATCATTGTTTAGTATCTTGGTGCAGATGGGTGCCAGCCACCTCAATAATTCCGAAGATGGCTTATGAATGTGAAGATCAATCTCGCATACCCGTGAGAGGCACCAACGCTCAGTTAAACTGATAAACTGGTGGCCAGAGAACAATCCACATCTTGAGAACAATCCACATCTTGAAGAAATATTTTTTAACCGATACTGCTGAGAGAGGTTTACCGTTGACCTTTCCGTTGCTAAGCCTCGACGCTATCGAACAGCACCGAGATGTCGTTAGAGTCACCCAGTTACATTCCTGCCTCCTGTTGTTTTTGCTACATCGCGCAACACGGTAGCAGTGTGTCTATGCACAAACGTACAAATAGCAAACTCATTCCGTTCTGTTCAACCCCATTGGAGAAGAAATTGTACTTGCTTTCGATGGGACGATGAGTTAACTTATAGACGATCAATAATATACAGACCTGGCCTTTTGTAGCCTGTTTTACTGCGCAACCTTTGAAAGTAGTTTGCAACTATTTTGTGGGAACAGGCCTGATTCCGCCCGTCGCAAATCCGTAAATGAGAGTCAAACACATCCGCAATTCGATACCCCCCACGGAGTAAAGATCGGTCGGTCCATCGGATAAAGAAGTTGGCCGTGAGTCTGGAACGTGGAACCGTTTCAAGCCAGGACTGTGGGTCGGCGGAACATGCATGGTGGGATGCGGGTGACAGAGGAGCTTTGGAAAGAGGTCCCATTCTTCTTCAGCATGATGTTGTGGCTGGAAAAGGACAGTATTTGGCGGATGGACCTATAACAACGTGATGGCAAACAACCAAGGCTGTACGGATGTCTCCGGGTCCAATATACTGATGCTATATGTATCCAGAGCAGTAGGCTCGAGCCACGTAGAACGACCACACTTTTAGTTGTAACTGATTGGCGAACTGGTTGAAATGTGACTTGAGGTACGTCTCGGGCCTGGACAGAACTTGCCCGTGATATTTTCTGAACAAATACCCGGATTCAGGCTTGCTTGAGTTTGAAATTTTCTGAAAAACAGCATCATCAGGATAGGCATTTGGGCACCAGTCATCGGAATGCCTGCCAATGCATCTCTTGC